AAAATTGTACACAAATTTCAAGCAAGAAGTAATTTGTAAAAAAAAAGATGTAATTACCTTAATCACATGAGTGACTTATCTACCAGTATATCAAAATCCTTTTCTTCAGTCATACTGTTCAATAGGTTTCATTTGTATTAAATGTTTTATTCAAATTATGGTAACCCTGATACATTACCTTGCATTACTATAATCAAAGGTAATTTGCCAAGTGTTTATCCGACATTACAATTGGTCTAAGTTAATCTGTAGTATTGAAACATCCTATGTATGTTAGCTCTTTTTTTTATTGTTATTATATTATGTTTCATTTAATTTTTTATCAGACTCTAGATTCCCCCACACACAAGTTTGACCAATTGGTCTATAATTTCAAGAAAGTTCTTATCACCCTTTTTAAAAGTAGAAATAAGATTGGCAACTCTTCAATCATCAGACACTAGCTCACTTCTATTGACATATCAAAATTGATAGAGAGGCTTTCGTATTTGATCTTTGTCCTTCTTTAAATCCTAGGGAGAACATTGGCTGGACCTAATGCTTTCATTTTTAATTCTAAATCTATTTACTCACCATTAGTAGATTAGTACCTGTAGTCAGAGCCTTATTCCCAGTACTAAAATGACTAAAATAGTTATGTGGGTATGCACCTTCAAATGGTGAAAAACATGAGTACATGTACATAATAATAATAATATCTTGGATTTTAATCTAAAATGTGTAATTGTAAAGTGAATTTTTGACAAGGTACTTTACTTCCTCTCACATACATAGCTATTCTTGTTCAGTGCTGCCCTATATTTGCCAAATTCTTTCACATGCCACAAGCCATTCACTCCTATGTACCCCTTGGTTCACATTGCTTAACTGATTCATGCATGCAAATCATCATGTGGAAAACCTCCATCAATAGATGTGCCCCCCACATGACTCGTATAACTCCGTATATGCTATCGTACCTAACTATCACTTCATTTGGCAGTACTCATGTTTGGACATTTTATTTAATGTTATCTTCGATTTGAATTTTCGTAGCATTTAGTTTTTCAGTTGCCTTTTATTTGTTTTACATAATCTCATTTAGTCATGGTATTATTTCATTTCAACCCATTTATGGAATTAATTATTTTTCTGTGCTTTTCCTTCTTTACCAACACAGTTGTGTTTGGTTTACACTTGCATTATGAATTCTGAAATGCATGTTACCATATTGGAGGTTGTACCTTCTACCAGCACATTTACTCAGGCTTCAGGTGGGGAGAACTGGACTTTGGAATTATCTGCAATTGTTAGTCAAGAGATTGATAATTATTTGAGAAATCTTCTTCTCCTGATGTTGACCAACTTCCTCATGAACAAGCTGAATCTGTTTGGGACAACAAAGCATTTGACAGCCTTTTTCCTCCTCTTGAATTTGCTGTGTCTTCCCAAGTTCTTACTGTGGGTTCCATTTAGGCCTAATATGGCCTTTTTTGACATGACTTCCCAGGTATGTTCTGTTCTATCCCTTTCCCCAATTTCCTATAATCCTCTACCTTCTTTGTTATATGATACTTCTTCCTCTCAGTCTTTTATGTTTCCACCTTCTCGCGGGCTTCAGATCAGTTTGCTTTAGCCAACCATGAGGCTGATTTTCCATTCCTGGATTTCAGCAACTGGAATTCATTTTATCTGTTTGGGGATGCAGACACTGATTGTACTGTTCTTCTGTACTATGCCCAATTTTCTGACCTTTGTCATACTACATGTCTATCTTACAGTACTTTTCTACCATGCACCTCATCTCTCTGAGGCAATCCACTAAGATCCTAAGGGTTTTTTGGGGGATACATTTGCCTTAATTACATCCTTGTTGGCATGTTTGTTGACTTCGGCTCTTTCTTTACACACATGGTTCCTCTGTTGTTATGATCTTTTGGGGGAGAGATGCAGTTTTGTCCCTCATTCATTTGCCATCTCCTTAGGACTTATGCCTCATCCCTTTTCTCCATTGGTCGATGGTTGGAGATCTTCCAGCATCTTTGGAATACTGAGTGGAATCTGTGAGACAGCAATTGACTCTTTCCTCATTAGTTGATCGTTTGTCTCACACAGAGCCTCAACCATCCCCTATTTCCATTCCCCATCTTAATCCTTCCCGACCCTTACCTGTTCCTTCGACACAGAATCTTTTTCTTATCATTTTAGTTGATGACAAGTTTTATGGTTCCATCAGTATTGGAGACTACTCTGTGATTTCCAGTCCAGTGGGAGCTCATTTATCCCAGTTTGTTGATCTGTGGTGAGATCTCCCCAGGGATTTATGGGTCCTTAAAGTTTTATCTGAAAAACTTGTCATTGATTTTCTCTCCCCTCCTCTGTTGTTTCAGCTATCAATTTCCTTTCTGTTGCCTTGGGATCCTACCACATGTCAGTGTCTGTCTGAGACAGTACAAAATCTCCTCTCTCAGAATTCCAGCTCTGGCTGTCGATGCGTTCAGTCAGGATTGGACAGAGAAATTCCTTTATGTGTATCCTCCTATTGACTCCTTCCCAAGGTGATTTCTATCATTGACTCCATGTCAAGTCCTTCTGATTGTCCCCTACTGGCCGGCTCAGCCGTGGTTTCCGCTGCTGCTTCAGATCCAATCTGCTCCACCATTGCCTCTTCCCAGCACTCCATCTCTTCTATGACAGCCTTGGTCCCAGGTAGTTCATCCCACCATTCCTACCCTTCATCTTCAAATCTGGTTTTTAGCAGGTCCTTGGTGAGGAAATCTGGTTTATCACAAAGTGTAGCTTCATTGTTGGAATATTCAGTTCAACCTTCTTCCATGGAGGTTTATCAACATACAATGAACGTTTTCTGTTGTTGGTCCTTATATTACAGATTTCCTCACTTGGTTAATTGATCATGGGTCTTTGGTCTTCTCAATCATGGGTTAACTGGCAGCTTTATCCAACACTCTTTGTTTTTCCAGGTACCGTACAGTTTTTGCCTTCCACACCTTGTCATTCTTGTTATATGTTTTCTGGATTAGTCACCCTCCACAGCATGCTACCTTTCCAGCTTGGGATGTCAATGTGGTGCTTCATTGCCCTGCTGTACCTCCATTTGAACCTTTGTCTTCATGTTTCATTTTTCCCTTAAGGTGTATTTCCTCCTCGTTTTGGCCTGTGAACAATATCAGTCAGATTTGCCATTGTCATTTCACGTACTTTGTATTGTCTTCTTCTTTATTTGGATTGATCTTTCCTTCCCAAGACTTTGGTGGCTCAGGAGGGTAATTTCTCCTTTCTTCAATTTCCCACCTCTATTCCATGTCTGATCCAGATAGACTTCTATGACCCATTCGTGCTTTTTACTCGCATGGCTTCCTTTCATCATAACTGTTTCTGTCTATTTATTCTTTGTGATCCCTCTCCTTCTACCCTTACCAATTGGGTTCGGCTTTTAAATCAATTGGCTTATTCTTCCTTTTCTCCTTTTTTTCCATCAATTATTCCAGGTATCTTCCCATCAGATTAGGTACCTTACTTTTTTCCTGCCGTCTCATCTGCATCGTCCTTTGGAGAAAATTCTTCAAGAAGGCACGTGGACCACTCCAAATACTTTCATCTCTGACTAGCTACATTGTGTTGCCGTTTTTTTCCTTGTCAGGTTATTGTTTTTTACCTGTTGCCGTTCAACTTTGGAGTGAACCATTATATATACCCCCACATATATGTCAGTTCCAGGAGGTTGAGTTTTGGATTTAGAGCTGAACCAATCAACATGATGTACTCAGACGTGTAGTGTACCACCATACATGCAGTTCACCCCTTTGATTGAGATCTCTCATCCTACCCTTACATGATTGAGTTTTGGACTGAACCAACCATGTGATCAAGGTGTCTGGTCCCTCACTCAATTTACCTCAAGTGCACTACTCCAGTGTTGTGGGTCACGGTGGGTGCACTTGGTAGTGCTATGCATCTTCCGCTTGTGCTACCCCTTGATGTCTTTATGCTGAGGATGTTACTGCATTTGAGATGGTTCTGGTCTGTTTGATTTGAGTGGAATATCTATGGATTTCTGTCTACTCACATGCGCCCTGTTCACAGATCAGTAGTGAGATTTCTTCCTCCGGTCGGTTGAACTTGAGGTAAAGAAGGTATGATCCTCTTTCCTACCCCTGCATGGATGTAAGTTTCCAGAGGTTGAGTTTTGGATGCAGTTGACATGCCATGTATGGTCCGTTGTGCCCTAGCCACTCTATACCTTGGAGCATATCCCTACTTTTACCCACATTGGCATGTGATCCTCAGATTTGTCCACCCGGATCAGTCTTACTTTTTCCACATCTGGACGAAGAGTATACCTGGTACAGAAGTGGTGTGGTCTCCCACGTATCATCTTCTTATTAGAAAGCTCCCTCATGAGGGGGTCCTTCAGATGATTTCAAAGAATACTTCTACTTTCTTCCTTGCAACTGTCCCTCCACCTATTCAATGTGAGATTCTAGCTATGTAGGTGAGTGGAAGTAAGGTACCTTGTCAGAAGTAATAATTTTCCTACACTGAAAATATATTTCCGACAGGTACTTACTTCAGCTCACCCTTCCTCTCAACTGTCCACCAGTGCTTAGATTTCTGCCTAAACTTGAACTGATAGTTAGGTAGAATAGCATAGATAGTCACATGAATCATGTGTGGGGGGGGGACACACACATCTATTGGTGGAGGTTTGTTGCAGGATGATTTGCATGCATGAATCAGTTAAACCAAGGCTTGTGGCATGCAAAAAAAAAAGGCAAATAGAGGGCAGCACCAAACTAGAATAGCTGTGGATGTGAGTCCAAGTAATTACCTGTAGGAAGCATATTTTCACTGTAGAAATATTATAACTTTAATGACAAAGAATTAATTGAAATCACTGTAAGTGAAAGAAAAGTGTGAGTCAACCTTTCAACTGAACTAACATCATTATTCTATATACACCTCTTATCTTGTTATGAATCTTGATTAGAAGTGCAGTATGGACATCACTATATTTACATTTATTTCTAATTTTTGGAAATGGATAACTAATGTTGTAGCATATTTAAGTCAATCAGTACTCATCTAATAAATCACTATTTTGTGCTTTTTTCATTATAGAAATGTATATTTGTGGATCGTTTTATCATTTGTTCTAAAATGCCTCGAAGAAGCAGTAGCTCAGACAGTGATCGTACTTCCAGAAGAAAGAAAAAATATAAAAAACGAAGTAGTAGGTGAGTTGGTTTTGCAAGTTTCTGAAAAAATGTATATTACGTAACTGGAACACTTGCACATTTTTGCTTGTAACATATTATTCAAAATTGTTTGTTTTGTGCTTATATTAGCCATAGTTTTACAGTTATGTTTATAGATACATATTTGTTATAATGAATAGTAAGTATGTAATCTGTAACTGCTATTTCTTTAGTTCCTCTTCTAGTTCATCTTCTTCGAGCGATAGTTCAGATAGTAGTATAGAAAGATATTCTCGGAAAAGAAAGACTAGTCGCAGAAGTAGGTCGTTATCGAGAGAGAAATATCGTCGGAGAAAATCCCGTTCACATTCTGGTTCTCGAAAAAGTAGCCCTACAAGAAAATCTCATCGGTCACCATCTCCAAAATATTCCAAAAGTAGAACCCGTAGATCTCATTCAAGGTCAAGGAGCACATCACATAACCATTCAAGTAGAAGACTCTCAAAACGATCAAGATCAAAGTCACCAAACCGGTGAGCCTCTTTTTTCTTTCTTGTTTCTGGTGGGTTCCTTATCACGAATTGTTTCTTGTTAGTTACTTTAATTGGCTTTCTGTATATATATTATTCAGCTATATTTCAGACATTAACTGCCAGTTTTTGTTATTATGAACCAAAGTTAAAACAGCCTACAATGTAAAAATGGATCATAATATACTGATTTGAATTATAACGTTTTTTTCTTTTCTATTACTGCATTTTAATGGAAAATTTATCTAATCTTAAACTGCATTAGTTGTGTACATAAAAGTGACTTAACATACAACCTTCATGGTTAGTTAGATGCTTTTTACAAGATTATTGAATTGTATTATGTTGAAAAACATTGTTTGTACATTCATTATATCATCCCAAACTTTTGTCACCAAATCAGAAACAATTTCCAAGGGTTATAAATCTTTGAAACTTCTCCATCTTTTCTTCTTAATGACTGTAAACAACTGCTTCCTACATAACTAAAATATTAAATTGTATTTCTTGTAAGTAGATCCATCAAATGCAACAACAAAGATAAAACAGAACATTCATCTTAGAGTCATGAGATTATTATAAGACATTCAGTAATTTCAATAAATGACAGTATTTAATAAAAAATTCAGCTGTCAGATACTTGTATTTCATTATCAGAGAAATCTGGAACATACTGTTGTTGTTATTCACATTCTCATTATATTGTAGGACTTTTTTGTCGTATTAACCCTAAAATCAGGAGTCAGTTGTACATAAGTTAGTGGCTGTTTGGTCATCACAATATCTGTCAATTGATAAAAAACATTCAAATTTTCTTTCAACAACAAATTATTATTAGAGCTTTCAAATACAACTTTTATGCTTATTGGTTCACCTCTTTCAGAGAAATCGTATTTGAAAACAAGCACTTCTCCTATCTTGTGTGTGAAGATATTAGTGAAAGTCCATTGCCTTTGGCAAAGTAATTTACCTATGAAAGACCTGTTTTCAGTGTTAAAAACTAGTCATAATACACTGGAAAAATGACCAAAAGCCACATTACCATAGTCTCAAGCACAGGAATGGAAGAAGTGATTATTACATGAAATGCAAACATTGCAGATGCATTTACATTGCAGTCCCTGTTAAAGATAAGTGATTGAATGATAAGTCATCAAGGAATGTTAAAACCCAATCAAAGGAAAATAATATAATAGGAAATTAGAAGGAATAGTAGGAATAAGATACTTTGTTCTATCCCTTCATTGTAAGCATTTTCATTGTTTTAAATCATTCAGTAATTGACAGGCTTAAATATGATTGATCATATCTAAACCAATGAAACCTTTCAAAATAGGTGAAGAACATTTAATATCCTTTCTGCTAAGTGCACAGTGTGTCCTAGATGTAGTGCAAGTCAAGATCAAAATGGATTGGCCTTGAACAAAAGTATCCTTGTTTTAGGAAGACTTTTCATCAACACTAAAATAATATTTTGGCAATTTCATTACATTGTTTGAAGCATTAGATCAAACCGTGAACTTATGCAAAGTTTTATATGAGAAAGTATCAATTTTTATACTAAATCCACAATTTTATATTTAGAAAAAATTACTAATCTTTTTAGACCAAAGTCAAATGATTTTGATAAGATACATTTTTAATTGTGTTATATCATAAATAGTAAATTATCTGGTTAAAGTACCTCATATTATGTCTAAATTTAAAATTGAGTTAGTAGAACCTGATTCATGTATTTTATGTGATTTTCCTCACATTAACAAAATTGTTGATTGAGATAATTTACTTTCACTTGTGGAAAAGTTTTGCAATTTTACTTATTTTTTAATATTAACAATAATTCAATAAATTTGTAAACAATTCATGATGATAAATTTTAGTATGATTCATTTGTTTAACCTTTTAATATCTGTTTATTTTCAACATTTTATACCAACTGCTTAGTATTTAAATGTTCAGTGTACATTACACTCCTGAATTTAGAACTGCATTTTGTGAGGGAGTAAATTGTTTTATTTGCATTCTTAAGTAACATTTCTCTTGAGTTTAATAACATAAAAGGCTTGTATCAAAAAGATATGAAGCTTGAAAATGACAATACTTGAAATATACTTTGGTCTGTACTGAAATAAAATTATAATATAACTTACATTGTGTTCATTTATTCTGCAATAGTATTTTTCCATGAATAAGTAAAACTCCATAAAGAGTTGTCACATTTTAATTGATTAAGGTCACATATGCAATATCATAGTAATTGAATTAAGCAAAACAAGCTGAAAATGATGTAATTCACCTTGCCTTTTATTCATATAAAAGGTTAAAGAGCCATCAGTTCTGGCAGTTTTCCACCAGTATTAACAGTACATTGCTCATGTTGTAGGTTAAAGAGCCACTGGTCCTTGCAATATTCACTTGTATTAACAGTCCATTACTTACATTAAAGGTTATAGGGTGTCTATTTTCCGCTTCTATTAATAGTCCATTTTTCAAGTTAAAGGTTATCAGGCCTGACAGTTTTTCACCTGTATTAACAGTTTACCTGGATTTAACAGATAGGAGTTTGGATATTATAAAGTAAATCAACTTAAAAAGAGGAAACAAAACTAAAACCTTAATCATACAAGGTGAGGCACAATTATGTGCCCACCTAAAATACTGTACATTCCGGACATTACTTGGATATGTTACTTTAAAGACATATAAATACAAGTTCTGGATAAATTTTGTCACTAATTGAATGTGTCCAGGAAAATGATTCCTGAATGTGACCTGTGGTAACAGTCAGCTCGATGCTGGCAATGAGTTTCTTCTGCTGCTACAGTAACAATATATGTAACATTGTTCCCTACCTGTGTAAACACAAGAGTTAAATAAAGTTATTGTATATGTCTATAAAAGTAACATATCCTAATATCATCGAAATCAGACTGTAATTTAGGTGAGAACATAACTGTGCTACACTCTGTTTATTAGTAAACCATTTTAAATAATAGTTATGTGTATGATTCTCCTAGAACTTGTAGAAGCTTGCAGGTTCATAGCCAAGAACTGGTATAAGATTTTGTGATATCATTTTAAATTCTTTTAAGTTTGTAGCAGAACTTGAAGATGATAATCAACATTTAATAGTAACTCTACAACAGGGATTGGAACTTGATCACTGTGTGACGGTGTAAATCATTTTCAACTAAAACTTCCCACCTCAATTCCACTTGGTATATTATTACAATGAAATATTTTTGGAGAAAATTTTTTTGTTGAATGAAAGTTAATAATAGATCTCAAAATAACATAGTTTACATAAATCTCTCACCCATGGATCAGTTACCCACAAATATGGATACATGTTATATTTTTAAAAGGAAAATGCAATGAAAGATTTTCAGTGATGTAAATGGATTTTCTTAAAGTTGTTACCTAATTGTATATAAAGGGTGACGTAGAAGTTGTACATCATCATTTCAAAAACCTCCATTTTCTATTGGAAATGATCCCACAAATCCAACCAGCCAACCTGCTCGTCCGTACATAGTAACCTAAGCCTGGCATTCAAAACTAGTGACCAACTTATAATTTCATCCCCAAATTTAAGTCTTCACTAGTATTCCTGACAGAGATAAGTTATTGTGGCCCCTTTTTTTTAATGCCTTTATCAATATCGTGTACTTAATAAGCTCCTCTGACCTATCCTTCCTTACATCATTAGCCCCTATGTGCACTACAAAGACAGTCACTGCTAGCACTGTACATACAAATTACACATTTTCATTACTAGCTTCTTTAAAAGTGCATCTCAGCCTCGATTTCCCTAGTAAAACCCACTACTTATACCGTTTGCCCCTTACAAACCATTTTATGGTAATTTTTTAAAGTACTTACATTTTAATGGTTTTACAGGTATATATATATAGCTAAAAAGTAAAAAAAAATAGTGTACATATCGTGTGATAACTTGTGTTATAAAATATGTAATTAGGTTAAAGCCTCAACAGGCCCAAATGAAAATAGTTTAATTCAATTTTCAATCTCTAATTTTACTTTCCAACATTTTTTTTTTCATTGTGGTCGTTATACTTTGCATATTTTGTCAATAGTCTCAGCTACAAGAACTCTAATTTTTAAACGGCTTTTGCATTACATGGTGGTATACAATTATAACACTTACTGACTTGTACCAGAGTCAAAACTTATAATAAATGCTGACTATTGTGTTTTATTTAGAACGAAAAATTTGTTGTAACATTTCTTTTTAAGTGACTTCCACTGAAACAATAAGAGTTTTGGGTTTCACAATAGTTGCAAATTAATTTTTGAAACTAAACATACAATAGCAGAACAAATCTTCATATTTTGTATATGTGTTATTTGATTAGCAAAAATTTATGTGTGGCATAAAAGTTAATGTATAACCTATATTTCAAATTTTTGCCTTTACCATGACTTTTCTTAGTCATGTTTGTTTATCAATAATTCTTTCTCTTTTGTTATAATGACTGGTTGGGGGTGTTATTAACCTTGAAGAACATGTGCAAGTGATCCTGTCATTACCTTGTATCACAATATGAACAGTTAAAGTTTCTAACATCTCATGGTTGTGCATACTTTTCGTCGCCCTTTACATACATTTTAATAACGAAAAACCAAATCACATAATCAAGTGACACAGGTCTCATCTGAATTATTCAGATTTTAGAATTTTTCTTTATTTTTTAGTAATAGGAGAAAGTCCTCAACCAGTAGAAAAAGTTCCAGTAGTAAATCTGTAAGAAATGCCAGTTCAGGATCAGGTAATCAACAGGTAATGTGTGTGTTTTTTACAAAAGTACTAAAGTAGATTATACATCTTTCTTTTGTAACTTAAAATATTCAATATTTGTTATAGTTAATAAACTAATCCAATTTTTAACCATTTAGTGGTATTGATCCTGATAAATTTCAGTTTTACTTTCTATCCTTATTCCATTGTGAATAGTCCACCGATGGTATGGCGGTAAGTGTACAGACTTACAATTGCTAGAATCCTGGATTCAATTCCCTGCGGAGGACAGAGCAGGTAGTCCAATCTGGCTTTGTCATACGACCAATCAAACCATTGTGAATAGTATACATCTTTCCTGCATATAAGAAAAGACCTGAGTTCACACGATTAATCCTAGAACAATTTATTATCATTGGCTTTTTACATGCATTTTTGTAAACTTTTCGTGCACAAAATTGCTTGTGGGCCCATAACTTTGCCTGTTACAAGGTTCTTAATCACATATGAATGGCACAAGAAAATATAAACAAAAGTACCATTAACCACATTAATTACTGCTAGAATCTCCCCTTTATATTTTACATAAAAAATGAGCTATTTTGTGTGTACTTTTTTTTTTATAAATTCTCTACACCAAGTGTTGTAATAGGAAAAACATAAACTAGTTTGAAAGTAATTTAGTGATATGAGAGTTAAATGTTTAAATAACTGCATGCAAAGGTAGTTGCATTGAAAATATATATACAGTTCATAAAAAAGTGAATGGAGCAGACTGAACATCAAAAATCTAGATAGGAACAAACTATGTAGAAATATATACTCATCTGTAATATGTAGGTTGTCATTTACGTGTATATTTAAGGTGATTTTCAAAAATGTATGCTAAAAATATGTTAATTTACATGAAAAATATATGTATGTAGCCATTTACTAACATAGTAATTAACGTTTTCCAAAATTAAAGCCAAATGTTGTTCTTTTTTTTTTGCTTCCTTCATTATGTATTGTTCAAAGTATTTTCTTCTTCAACACAATTTAAAGTAACCTCTTTTGTTTGTTTCTTTAAGAATGAAGATGAAGTCCTGAAAATAAAACTACAACTAGCATTAAAAGCTGCAGGTGAAGTTGTTTTTTTTTGTATGAATTAATAGCTGTTTCAAACATTAATTACAAATTTAAATCAATGAGTAGAATACATGAGAAATTAAATTTAATAAAATATTTAGAAGAATACTTCTGCCTTGGGAATTATCAGTTAGTACGTTAATGTGCGACATTATATTTCAAAGATTACAGACACGGTCTATAGGTTTAACTTCTTGAATTTTACATAATTTTATTTGTATCCATGTTATAAGAATTACTGATTCCAAAGTGCAAAGGGATAAAATTTTATGTAATACAAATAAATCATTCTTAGAATAAAAGTATTTAAAAGTTACTATATATCCTTTTTATTAAAGCTATTATACAGTGTGTAATTGAAGTACGTTAAATATGTATGTTAAATTTTCCACTCGGGTTTCATATTTGAAATTCATTATGATATTTCAGCCATTGTTTCACTTTTCTAACTTTGTGGCTCAAACCAAGCACAATAGCTGTATTTGAATGTTTTTGTTATTTTTCAGCTAATGCTGATGCAGAGCTTCGAGAAAAAGGGTTAATATGTGGGACCAAGGGGGCAGGTGATTCAACAAAGACTCCTGTTTCAACAGCTGTGTCAGTTTCAGAGCAGTATAAGAGAGCTCAAACTATTGAGGATATCAATTCACCGTCCTTCATTCAACAGTCTTTTGTCTCTAGTAAACAAGGCCAAGTTCAGTCAAATAAAGTAAAGTGCTGGGGTTATTATTTATTTATTTTTAATCTTTTTTTAATATAATTTGCTTCAATTTCCAAATCATGAATAAATATATGTATATATAACATTTGTTTTACACTTTTAAGTCAAAAAGGGCAGTCATGAGCAAACATGGATTAGTTCATTTTAAATTTTGAAATTCTGGGTGTTCCATATGTAATTCTTGTTTTTAAAGTGAAAGAAATATAGTATGTGTACATATTCATTTGTTTGAAATCTATAAATTTAAAAGAAAATGTTTTGTAAAAAGATATATTGATTTCAGAGTTTTCAATACATAATAAGACAACATGAGGATATGTTCATTATCTTGGTTAAGATGATCAGGCATGTGCTATGCTGACTCGGGTACTCTGATTAGATAATTCTGATATGGTACATTACCTATGCTCACATGTACAGCTATTCTTGTTCAGTGATGTCCTCTACATGCAAAAATTTGTTGGCATGCCACAAGCCTTAAACTCCCTTATACACCATGATCAACATGGTTCATCTGTGTTTCATATGTAAATCATCATGTCATCATGTGACAACCCTCCACAAATAGGAGTGCAACACACCCTCCTAACGCATGTGACTCCCTCTGTTTGATTCTACCAAACTATCACTTCTCCTTAGGCAGTGATTGAGTACAGACATTTTTTAGTTGTGCCCTTTTGGTGGGTTTATTTAATTTTTTTTATTTGCAAAAGTAGTGATTTACTTGATTTACTCATTTGCTACAGTTAGTTTTTTCTGTAGTAGTTTGCCACGATAACTTACCTTTGTTTATTGTTGTTTTTTCTCAATTTCGACTTCTTCACGGTTTAAGATGAATTCCAAAGTTTGTGTTTTACAGCTTCTGATACTGTTACCACTACTTCATGTCTGAGGTCTCGAATGAGAATTTTCGGGTATCTTTCATCAGGAGATTGATTGTTATATGAGGTGTCCTTTTTCTCTTGATAGTGTTCGGGTTCCTCCTGCATTATCCAAACCTGTTCATGACTAGAAGGATTTGACAGGTTGTTTTTCCTCCTCCTAACTTTGCCATGTCTTCCCATGCATCTCCTACAAGATCTACTAGTCCTAACGCTGCCTTTTTGGATATGCTTTCTTGGGTGTGTTCCATTTTCATATAATATTGTTCCTTTCTTCTTTACACAACACCCATCATTAGGGTCTCTTGTTTTCCCTCCTTTCCCTGACATCAGGGTTCATGCTGAGCATTTCGTTTCTCAGTTGAGGATTGGTGTTAGTGTACCTTGTCCTCCATGGACTTCTGATCTTTTTGCTTTGGCTTATCAGCAAGCTGAGTAACCCTTTCTCAACTTCCAGCAATTGGAGTCACTTTTGCCAATGACAGTTGGGGGCTGTCCCTGATAATCCTATCCATTTCTCACCTTCATATCCTTACAGCTCTCCTCCAGTACTTATTCAACATACTCCTCTTTTCTGAGGCACTCCACTTGAGGGTTTTTTTCCTCCTTCCTCTTTAGCCCTATCCCTTTACACCTGGTTTTGTTGCTGCTGTATTTGGAAGGATGCTGTTTTTTCACAGATTCATATATCTTCCCCTTATCTTCATGACTTCTGGATGTCTCATTTTCTTCATTGGTTTGTTTTTGGAATCACATGTGGACTCTACGAGTCCACATTCGACCCTTTAGTCTTTGGTTATTCATTTTGATATCATGATCTCTCCCATAACTGTTTCTCTTCCTACAACCTCCTGTCCTTTACCAGTTCCTACCACTATGTTTTAAAAATCTCACTGTGTGTCCCAAAGTCAGGTTCATTGTTGGCAGCAGTTCCAGTGACTTTCAGGAGGCATGTGGAGGAATGTTTGGCCAATTTTGTTCCCCTGTGAATGTTATTTATTACCAATTCTTGAGTGATCCAAGTTTTGTCAAAAGGATTTTTCATCCTTTTTCTTTCTCCTTCACCTTTGTCTTCTGTACCAATTTATTTCCCATTAACTAGGGATCCAGCTACCTGTCAGAGTCTATCCAAAGTTGTGCTGACCCTTCTGTCACAGAAAGCTATTATGCCTGTCAGCCAACCTTCTCCAGGAATTTTTGTGCTGTGATCCATCTGTCCTGCCTCAACCAATTTCTGATTCTTTATCATACTCAAGGGAGTTTTTTCTCCAGGATTATAGATGACCAAGGTAAACATCTCGATTGACTATCTCTATATTCATATTTCTCATCAGTCCAGACGTTATCTTCAGTTTTTCCACTACAGGGTTATGTATCAGTTTCGCAACTTCTCTTTCAGACTTGCTTCAGCTTCATAAGTATATTTTGCCTAACTTCTGCATGCTCTAGGGTTGTGTTTACACTATTACTTGGATGAATGGCTCCTGTTATCTCCTTCTGAACTGAAGTCTTCTCTCAACACACATCTGCTGCTAACAGTAGCAGCTTGTGTTGGTTGGATTATAAAGTTTGTGAAGTTTCATTTTGCTTACTTACTACCTTATCCACTTGGGTGTATTTTTCAACATCCCTACATTCAGGCCCATCCTTCTCCATTCAGTAGTGCTTCCAGTTTTCCACGCTTTCACTGCTTCTTTGGTTTCAGCACAAAAGGTTCTTTCACTTTTAAAGATTTGGACTTCTATGAGTTGGGTACACATGCATTCTCTTCAGAGGTCGCTGCAAGGCCCATGGAATCTTGCTTAAGATCCCTTGGACTCCCCAATTTCCCTTCCTCCTTCCCTTACCAACTATCTGCTTGAGAGTCAATCTGCCATAAGGTAAAAAGCATCCAAAACATGACACACAAGGAGATTTATCCACAACATATGGGCCAAATAAAGGAGGTGCAATGTGCGACCACAAAGGGAACAGGAATGGGTACCTACATAGTGATTGAAATACGCCAAAATGGTGGAATTGTTGGAATGGAGCATGACGTGTTGGTACTGTATCAGTGGAAGAAAATGAACCATAGCATGTCATAAACTACAAGGTGTTGAAATGGTAAGACATAACAATCTGAGACTACTGCCCAGAAATCTCTTGCTGATGAACCAAAACTCCCAAATATGGATGAGTTGGAAGAAGCAGTACTCCCTTTGTTGTGCTGTCCATGTTCAACCACCAATGTTTTCAGGTGACTATGCAATCAGTGGAGTACTCCTCATCTAGATGATTTTGCCATTTTACTCCAACACCAAATAACCTTTTATTTTTATTTTTTTATTTTTGGTCTCCGTTTCATCATTCTCAGATCCTGGCAGTGTATTTTCCTAATCAGAACTGGATCTGCCAGTTGCATTTACATTCCTTCCAGAATCGTTGACATCCTTGTCACATGGTTCTTCCAGATTGAGTTTTCCTACTCAAAACTAAAGCAGCTCATGAGAGTCTTTCTTCCTTCTCATCATTTCTTCTTCTATCCATTTCCCACCTTTAATCCCACTCTGCTACAGATAGACTTCTATGTCTAGTATGTGCTCTTTGTTGTTCCATTGTCCGTATGGCCTCCTTTAGTGGTTCTCCTTTACAACTTATGATCATCAACTGCTTCATTTGGTCTATTCCTCCCTGTTTTTTTCTTCCTGAATTCTGTTCCAGGTGTCTTCGCTTAAGATCGGGCACCTCCCTATTTTTTCTGGAGTCTCACTTTTATTTTCCATTGGAGGAAACTCTTCAGCCAGACATGTGGCCTACTCCTCATACATTCATCTCCCACCATCTTCATTGTATAGCTGTCTCTTCCTCATCAGGGTACCACCATCCTTCAAACTTTGGTACAGCTGTGACTGGGTAAGTTATCTTTTCTATATATATTTTTCCATTCAGAGTCCTCCCCCCAGCAGGACAGGAGTATGTTTAAGGATTTATAACATTTAGGTCCAGGTTTCAATCTCTACAGTGGCCACAGTATATAGCCACGAGTTTTCTATAGAGCAAGCTTCTTGCTTAGCATTAATATAAGGCATGAAACAATTTTCACCTGTCCAGGTATGCTTTCTTTATCTGAACTCTGCACTATGCAGAAAACAATATACCCATGGCCAATAATGCACACCATTGAGATGGGGTGTTCCACAAGATTACTAGTAGGTTTTCCTCACATATATTTGCTTCATTAATATGCTCATTCCGGATGGTACTAACCCATAGAGTTACATGGGTAATGCAGAAGGGATAGCTGCTCATCTCTGCTGTCCCTTCAATTGAGTATATCAGGGGTGGTCCACTTCTCAATATAGGGTTTTTGTGGTCACCCAGTGCACTGTCTCTGGTTTTAGCATTCTTCCAGACTCTCCACTGCATTTTATTCCCCTTGTTCTTCTAGTGGAGTATGGGAGTCCTTACCACTTTCCAGCTCCAAACTGCTGGGGTGGTGGACCATGGAGGTATTCTCCTGAATGTGATCATTTTCATTTATTCAGTAGAGAGAAGGGCAGTGGTGTAGATGGTGTCCATCAAATAGACATGCTCCGCCTCTATGCAGTGGATCACAGAGGTTTATGCTGCACCCAGCTTCTATGCAGTTCTGTTCGTAAGGTGTGGTTGTATATATTTTACAGAAGCAATCCACTTCCGTGCAGTGGTATTCAGAGGTTGATATTGTGCTTCAACCTTTTTTGGGTTCTATCTGGAGGATGACATTGCAATTCACCCTATTGATTAGGACCCCTCATCCTACAATCACCTGGATTTTGGTTCCTAGTGAGTGGTTTTAGATTACAGCATAAATCCTCACATATATATTGGTTCTGATTCCTCGTCCTCACTCCAATTTCATAGTTTTGCCTCATATTCTCCACTTCCGTGCAGTGGATCCCAGAGGTTGATGTTGCACACACATGCACTTCAACTTCTGTGCAGTTCTATCAGAGGATGATGTTGTTTGGGGTGAAGGTTCTCCTTCTAATGCTCCACCTCAGAAGTTTTTCCCCCTTCCTGAGGCTGCTGTTGCACTGAGGGGTTCCACTCAGATTGGATTTGGTTTGGTGTGAACTGCCGCATTGGCACATCCCCTTGTACCATCATTCGGATGTCAGGTTCCTGGATGTATGGGTGGTTATGGATTTGCACATATGTGCCCTTTTTAGTAGATTGGTTTGACATGTATATAATTCTGTTCTACTCAACCTGAGGTGAAGACAATGTAGACCATCCTCTTACCACGGGTCGAAAGTTGTAATCCTGATGCCGCTTGGTTTTGGACTGGAGTTCACTGGTCACATATGGTTCACTGTACCCTAGCCGCTCCATACTTTGGAGCACATCCTTTTAGCTTTGCCTACATTCCTATCTGTAGATGGTTCTTCTACAATCTTTCTTCACTGGGATTCATATTTCGGTATATTGTGGTTCAGATTCAAACCCATCTGGTTTTTCTCTCCGTTTTAGTTGTGCTCCTCCCACTTTCTGTCTGTGTATGGGACACCTATTTCCACACTAGGCACAAAGTATATCTGGTGCAGAAATGGTGTGGTCTCCCATATGTGTTCTTCTCCCAGTGGGGAGGAATCACACATCATGTGTGTTCTTCAGATGCTTTTGAAGGATACTTATTTCTATCCTTCGCACTATCCCTCAGCCTATTCAATGTGGGATACTCTGCATGTGAGCAGAGCGTATCAGAAGTTATTATTTTCCTATACCAACAATATATTTCCCATAGGTACTTCCCTCCTCTCACACTTTCTGCCTACTGAAACCTGGTGCTTTTCTTTTCTGCCTAATCTCGAAGTGATAGTTCAGTAGAATTGAATAGAGGGAGCCACATGCATTAGGAGAGTGTTTCGCACTCCTGTTGGTGGAGGGTTGTTGCATGATGATTTATGTGGGAGTTCAAGGCTTGTGGCATGCGAAAAAATTTTGCACATAGAAGGCAGCACTGAATGAGAATAGCTATACATGTGAGAGAAGGTAAGTACCTATCGGAAAAATATTTTCGGTATAGAAAAGTAATAACTTTTGGCACTTTTTTCAGAAAATGTCTAATACTCAGTGAAATATTCATATTGATATAATGCCAAGGTAGTGTTACATCTAACAATATATGTAATTGTTTAATGATGTGGACTTAGATATTTATTGTACTTTCCTGCTTGACAAAAGTTAAGTTGCACATGTTCTGCAGTCTTTATTAATGTATCTTATAAGAAGCTGTTGGTTTCGTATAACAGAATAAAGGATACGAGGTAAAGTAAGATTCATTTTGGGACTTTAAATTGTAAAAAATGAGAAAATCATAAATTTGGAGTAAATTTCTTTCACTACCATACCAAAAAGACCTTATAAATTATTCGGTATTTCTGATACTAAAAGATTAATTTTTCTCTATTTTCAAATCATTATGCAAAACGTTTTTAAGCATATTAGAGATAAATGTTAACATCAAAATATCTTTTTATAGGAGATGAATGATAATTCCTTCAGACTTGATGATCATACTTCAGCAATCTATGGAACATCCTTGATAAAATCTTCAACAGCCAATCCTAATACTAAATCAAGTATTTCAGCAACTAGTACTTCTCTGGGAAGAACCTGGTGGGAAAACTCAGAACTGCTTTGTCATGAGAGTGTAAGTAAATATGTAGTAGTCTTGTACAACAGCTTTAAAATCCATTTTTAATATATATAGAGAGCAATAAAAGAGTTCATGGAAGCTGTGATTCTTAGTAGTACTTGAATGTTATATGACCGTATCATTCGGCAGATTATGAAATACTGACTGAATGTTCCATCAGTATTTCTTAGTAGTTGATGATAGCTTCATACATCACAGTTATTACCAACTAGGTGTGAAAGTTTGAGATATTACCAGTATTATCAAATTAGCAAAAAATGCAGCTATCACCAGTATTACAAGATGATTAAATCACTACAGTACTGAAGTAATTTTGATGTTTGAATGGAGTTGTTATGCTTATGTGTAACAGTTTTGAATATGCAAATCAAATCATGTGCCAACCACATCAAATACAAATTTTGTAGGTAGTATGATGCAGTGAGGTGGCATTAGGGGGCATCATACTCTGCCCCCCAACAGATATCGGGGTTAGTCTTTTAAGATTTTAAAATTCTCCCTACGTTGTGACTTCCACTAACATAAAAGTATTAATTTTTTTTGGAGAAGTAATCATAGTGTATATCTTTAACCAATCAGACCTAGGTGATGGGTTTGATATTAATCTGAAACACCTTCAGACCATTGTGAAGCTGTGCAAAGAGAACCTGGAATAATTTTAGATTGTTTCAATAATGAAAAAGAATAAATAGACACTTCTTAAAAGTAAAAAAGCCTATTTCTTCTGTATTTAATAACGCTTGACTTCCTCTCCCTACTAACTCTTTGCCCTCCCAATAAAAGCTCTTAGAAAACACTATTGATAAGATTGAGATGCCACTGGAAATTGATCAACAGTCATCAGATAAAGCATTATCAGATGTAGCAACACGAACTGTAATTTCAAGATAAACTCCAAAATCATTTTAATGTTTTGTACTCAACTTTTCTATCTTTATAAGTCTCCATTCTAGATTGTTTATTTTAGTGAAAATTTTGTTTTCCAGGAAAAAGGAACTAGTAGTCATGGTAATTTGTATAGTCTATTGTACTGTTACAAGTTATTTTGTGTTTGCTAATTGTTAGAAACACGAACAGCTATACAGTTATTGAATAACAGAACATGTTAAACTTCATTAAAAAATAATATTAATCTAGTGTTGGGGATCCAAATATACAGGTTAACAACACGTCTGTGTATTTTACACAATCTTGTAACTACCATGTAAGTGTAACATACTATAACTCTAAAAGTACTTAATGTAGCTTCATGAAATTTGGCAGACTTTCAGTAATCATTAAAAGTTTTGTAGATAAAATATCAGAATTTTCAATTAACTATTTTTACTAAAACTTTATTTGTAATATACGGAGTCAGATTGTAGACTACTCCGAGTGAAAAGTAATTTTCATCTTAAAATGATCTGAAAATTTCCAAATTTCATTTGTTTAATCCCTAAAGACTCTTAAATAAATATAGAATGTCTTTTTTTTTCAAAAAACTTTATATTTTATGTGTTATTTTTTTCTACCATAACTATATGGGGTCGATTGATTAGATCAACCTCATAACCACCATATAAAATTATGAAATCTAAGTTACCCTATTTTCTTTCTAGAATGACTGCAGATTGTAATAGGAAACCACAATGGTTTATCCTAAATAGCTTAAAGCTGGTAACAGTATACATCTATTTATACAAACTGTTATTTGTTTATTGACCTTTGAACCACATCTAACTAATAATCCCACTAAACAACTGGTAAATCACTTAGTGAACATGCAGCTCACACACATTACCATATTGAATTAAATAATGCATGAACTTCTTGCAAGATTTTTTTTTTTTTCATTATCTTACCTAATCCTGGTTACTTTCTAATTTTTACATTTTAGTTACTTTTATAATAATGAATAAAGAATACACATCAAAAATAAGACTTACCTGGGTCATTATTTTTTTGTTGTTGTTGTTGACTGTTGATGAAACTTAAGCATACTTTTTATATTAAAGGTATTGCTACACTAAATACTTTTTATTTAATTACATAAATGCACCTAAGAACATGGAATAATAACACACAAAAAAACAACCAATGACTTGTAACTATCATAATTCTTCTGGGTTTTTAACTATGTGATAAGATCCTTTAAAAATTCAGCTTAGCTCATCAATGTGATTACCATAAGAGAAAGTTTGAAACTGATGGATGAAATAAACAATGCCATGTATGGAAAGCAACATTATATACTATGTAATTTCATAGATTAAAACTATTAACAATTTATGAAAGAGAGGATATGACAGGTGGGCATAGTAAGTGGGTCTGATTTTCTAGTTTATGGCTCTGTAAACAAATAAGATTGAAGGCTATAAAACATAGGCTTTGTCTGAGTAATATCTATATTATAATAAGTAATTTATGTTAGATTCTGTACTTCTCGGGAAGATTGGGGATTTTTCAAATACTTCCATATAAATTAAGAACTTAAACTTATATAATACTAAAAGATGATCTATTAACTATGTTTGATACCAAGTTTATTCGTATACATTGATAATGAAGCAGTTTATTTAAGTTTTGAGTGTAACTATGTAAAAAGTTGTGAATTGCACACTTTGACCTTCCCAATGCAAAATGGTTAAGGATGAAATCCCTATAGAAGTTACAAACTCAATCCTTGCAGAATGTGAAGTAATTTCTTATTATAATTATGATTATCTCCTTAGAAATCATAGACAGAGTAGGAAGTTTGTTTTTTAATGTATTAAAATAAATCATTATTGGTTATAGAAAGTATAATTCTGTTTGAAGTTCTGGTTTCTAGTCCACATACTTTTTGAACTAGCTCTGGGTTTTTAGCTGCTTGATTTGACAGTTTAATATATGGTGATCTAATATATATTTTTTTTTATTCTAATCTATTTTCATTTCATATAAGTGTTGTAGTGGTACTGGAATGCTGTGGTAATATTATTCCTTTAAGAAAATGTTGGATTTAAGCTAGTTAGTGAAAATAGTTGTTTGTTATTTCAAAACAAAGAATGAAACATTTTATGAGAGCTTAAAGTTTTTAGTGCAAACTGGGTAATTTTATTCATTGTTAAAAAGATGAATAAAACACCACCTATTACTCCAGAAAACATTAATTGTTTTATTTAAGCCAATATTTCACTATTAAGGCTTTATCAGTGAGATTTGTATTGTTTTTTAACATTTAGACAAGTTGTAACACCCTCCATGTGACTATATTATCCCAGTTTATTTAGTGTACAAGTATAGGTTACCTAACTATTGATGGAAATGTCTTTAGCAAAATTTTACACATTTTAGTTCATTGTGTTTATTCATAAGTCAATTCTGCATCTATCAATAAATTGTTTGTGCAAGACTATCATGAGGATTTTGATTGCAGTTTAAACCTTATGACTGTAGTAGTACTACTATAAAATGTATGTATGTGCAAATGTTTTTAACATTAAGACATAAAACTCATAGCATGAATTTTTTCACAGCTATTTGAAGACCCAGAAGTGAAAAAAGAGAGGTGGAAGAAGAAGTTATCAGTACTGAAGAGGAAGAAATTAAATGGAAGAGTCATGACCTGAGATACATTCTTCTCATAGAATTATGGTGTGATGTTCACTCAGTAGAAAAAACAACAGTTGGTAATGATCAGTGACTGACTATAAAGGACCTAGCTCATAGTGTGTACAGTGAGCCAATTGTCTAGCTTGATATTTTGACTGTTGTGAGCTGAATGAACTCTCCACACTGTTGGAGTTCTATACATTTTAGTAACTTGGAACTGTTGACAAGTTAACAAATCACTGAAGATTAACTAGCTTCACTTTAAGACTCTTGGACACTGTTAACATCTCTCTTATGTTTTGTAGAATCTATTCCAGTGTATTGCAGGAAAATTCTTAATCTTTCACCTATGGAGGCAGTTTGGTTGTATTAAAGTAGATGTTTTGTGGAAGCAGTTCCATTGTGTTGTAGGAGATTTTAATCTTTTGTGAATAGTAAATTGGTCATCACATCTGCTTATTCTATTTTTTGTCATTGTTTTGTTGTTTTCTCTACCAGAATTTCAGTTATTTTCTTGCATCTTGCAGTATGAAATGAACAGTAAGTATAGAAAAATTGGAATTCTGTTTCTTGTTGAAGTTATACATTGGATTAAAACTTGGCAAGTGAACTGATCTAATGTGTACCATACATGACATTAATCATTCATGGTCATTTGGTAAAATACTTCTAGGTAAATTTGTGGCTTCATTTTTACAAAATTTATATGATGTTAGCCAATCCAATGAAATGTTTATTAGCATTTCAAAATCTAAAGCTTCTGATTCACGAGTGGTGTCTACAAAAAGACCCTGTTTTAGTGTCTTTTGTGGTTATAATTTATAACAGAAAAAATGGATAATTTAAATAGAGATTAAATTATAAATATGTTGTTTTTTCCCATTATCAACATCATCATCTTCATTAATAAGTGAAATAATTTACCAAACATTTTTTGCACATTTAGAATATGTAATAATTGAAATGTGGTCTTTACATTGAAACAGGTATGAAAGCTTGGGACTCTGAAATATAATATTACTCTTATTATTAGACATTGTGTGAACATGTTGTATAAGTAGCATCTTTTTTTTTATCATACTATCCTTAATTGTAATGTTTTGCCAAATGTTGGTTGTCAGGTTAACAAATGGATATTGTGTCTCAAGTTTCTTGACTAATTGGTGTTATAATTATAAATACAAACCCCAAAACTTGTTATAATCTTCATTACAGTTACCTTTTTCCATATCCAAGTTGTTTCTTAATATGGTATACTAGTTTTAAGTAATTAAAAATGAACGGTTTGAGTGATTCATGCAGAACAAGAGTCTTAAAAATTATCATTAAGCATACCAGCTTATATGACAAAAAGAATGAAAAAACTTTTATACTTGTGGCTTATCCTTGTTTGTAATACATTACAAACTTCATGAAATTTACATAATGATCAAAATGTTTGGTTACATCTTTCATAAGTCTGGCCCACAGTAGTACCAACATTTTATAATATGTTGTGCCGGCTATGGCATTAAGCGTCATTTGTAAAACAACCTTGTAATTAATTTTAAAATCAACTAAAAAGGGGATTTTAATAGAAATAAAAGCATACAATGTTTTATCAAGTTAACTCTTCATCTTTAAATTGGGTAATTTTTTTAAAACCTCAAAAGGAGGACTTGACGAACATTAACCATCCAGATATTAGTTTAATTCTATATTACTTTTAAAAAGCTATAAAGAAATGGTGAATGAATACTTGTGTATTACTTTTCAGCTTAGTAATTAACATTTCTTTAATCCTATTTTTACAAAAAAATGTTCTCGCACTCCGTTTTAAAATTAACCCGAGTTTCATTCAAGTACTCAAAATCATAAAAACAAAAAAAGAGAGATATCTACATTCATTCAAGTACTTAATTTCTGCACCATTCCCCAATATGTAATGCATTTACATTAGTGTGATAAATTATTATTTTTTAATAGAAGTAACCAAGTTTTATGACAGGAGTAAACTTTGGTTTGTAGATGGTGAATTTTAACATCTTACAACATGCAGTAAATCACGTACAAAAGATAGGAACGATGAACTGTGCTTTAGGATCAACAACCCTTGTTTCATAACTTTTATTATCTGTAAGTCTGATTTTGTGATTCTCCATGGCTTCATTTAACTTTATTAAGTTCTGATCAAAGCAAGCTACTCAGTTTGTTTACTCTAATAAAAGGAAATATTATAAACAAGTAAATTAATTTCTGAAAACATCTTTTAATTACAAAATCATAACATTGAATAACCAAAGATATTTTTATTGATAACCTTCATTAAGAATCATAAGTGGATGACTAGGTTCATACAATATCTGTATAGGTATGTTTTAGATCATTTTGGCATTAAAGTAATGATAAAGCAATGTAGGATTTATTTCATTTTCTATGGTAAATTTCAGGGTTAACTTGTCAAAATGTTGTGTATGTCAATTTTATTATTTCCATTAAATTCCTGTTTTAGTCATCCTGTGTTACTGAGTGTAGTACTTTTTTTTTTTAAACAAAAGCATTTTAACATTACTGGACTTGCTCATACAGTTACTAAAGTTATAAAAACCTCTTGTTAATTTCACAAACAATGTTCCCATAGTTTTCTCAATTTTTCTAGATGGGTGATTTTTAATTTTCTTAAAAAATACTCATTTCTGTTTAACATCATGACTGTTACAGGATAACATATTAAGGAATTTATCCTGGCCAGTATTTACAACATTTAATGAACAATATTTATTTTTCTATTTCTACCATAAAATCCACTCTCATACAGTATTCAGATACACCACTGTCCTACAGGTAAGCTATAAATATCTTCAATCCACAGCGGCCTCGGGGAATGTTTTGCCAAAAAAAAATCAGAAAAATGCACAATAAAAATATTTTTTATTGCATATACTTACAAACACAAAGAAAATTGAAGTTGAAATTTCTGGTCAGTTTCTAAGCACGTTGTATAAAACTCTGCTGGAGCTGGAGAGAGGTCTACACAAAAGGAATTGAAACAAAGATCGTGGAACATTGCACGAGTCAAAATGAAGATTCCTAGTGGAAAACCCCACAGTCCTAGATTGCTTAGTTACATCAGTGATAATTTCTATTATATAAATTCCCAGTTCATACTAACTTATACAAATTTCTGTACTACCTCTCAACATGTGTATGACCCATCCTAGAGAACCAATGATACAAAAAGAAAAACAGGGTCATCCAAAAAGCACAAGCCTTTACAGAATGACCACTGTGGTATGTAACCTTTGTTAAAGAAAATTTTTGCAAGTTTATGATGGTTCATATCTTGTTTACAAAGATATCTACTAAATACAGACTACCTTGCTCAGTTTCTTAATTTATCTGAATAAAAACATTTCTTTGTGAAAGAGTAAAATTCAACAGTTTTTTCACTGCCACATTACTATATTTTGGGCTCATTATCATAGTTACAGTAAATTGTTAAAATACATAGTTTCCTATAATTTTTACAATTTATATTTTATGCTAATTGTAGTTTAGTTTCATACACTTTATTAAGATAATGGTCTTGGAACAATAACAATGTTGTAATATGACTTTATGAATGTTCAGTTTATCTATAATATGAAAATATATATGACTGAAGAAAGAGTGGATAGAACATCTTATATCAGTTAGTTTCTACCTGAAAACACAAATGACATTTAGATGTACACAAAACAGTGAGCTTTTTGACAATAGTTTGGACAAAAAAATATTTCCTTTGATATTTTGTGTGGTATGCTTCAGACTAAGTGAAAATCATTTCGGAAACATAAAATAGGAAAATAAACTTTATTTTGAACAGTTTTAAAGCTTTATAACTACATTGAGCATACAAATCACTTTGGATATATAGCACCTTTTTTTTTTTTCATGTTCATCATTTCTTGCACCATTTTAATAGTTTATGCACCTTAATGTTGGCCTTTCAGAACCTGAAAATTCCACAATACATTTCTTTAGCTTTTGTAACTCTGATATACTGGCAAGTAAAGGATTGTAATTACCCCTACAATTCATACTATATTAATGATATTATTATATTACATTAATTAATTAAAAATCAAACAACACCTTTATCACTTGGGTCTACAACTACACTATGTTCCTGAGAATATTTAACATCACTTCAAACAACACCTTTATCACTTCGGTCTATAACTACACTATGTTCCCGAGAATATTTAACATCACTTCAAACAGCACCTTTATTTCAGCAAAAATATTTTGCTATCACAGCAAGTGTAAGTATTACTTTCTTAAAGAAACAAAATATTATGCTATAAAATAATTAAGAGTTTACACGTGAATAATTTTAAATATACACATATAGTTTTCTATCTATTAATCTGTTGAATATATTTAAGAAGTGAACCCAAGAACTTCTGAAAAACCTTCAGCTTAGATGATAAGAGATTTATAGCAAAGAACCTAGGAATTTTGGGATTGTATTAACCTTTCCCAGACTGGAGGAGTGTCACCAATATCACCAAGTGTTTCCTTCTCACAGTTGCAATACTTAACCAAAGTGAATGAAACTTCAAAAAACTTGCTAAATAGTAGCTAGTTTAGGCTTAAATAAATTGTTTGATTTAATATTTCTATAATTTTTCTCACATTTTCTCAAAATTTCAAAGCTTCGTGGTGAGACACACTCAGTATACTAGATTACAGTTTATGCCTTCAAGTTTAAACAGTTCTGCAATAATTCACTGAACATTTTTTT